TCTAGCACCGTTCATGCAGCAGTTTGTTTCTCCCAGGCACAGTATTTGGACGTGTACCTTGGACCACAGCATATTGAGCCAGGGCAGCCTCAGCTGGTTGGGAGCCCAAGGGGTCAGCTTGCCAGTCCAGAGCTGCTCCCCACTGGCTCAACGTGCTGCAGAGGGGCTGGATGAGGCATGAGGATGCTACTGTGTGGGGCTAACCAGCAGGCCACCCCACACGGTAGCACCCTCATGCCCCAGCCAGCCCCAGCCAGCATCTACACATGCATTGTGGCAGAGTAAATAACTCCACTGTAGTATCTGGTAAATAACTCCACTTGTATCTGACAGTACTATCCTACAGTGGAGTTAATTAGTTTACTCCTGCATAAATAGGGGCGCATGTGTAGACAGTGATGCTTTACTGTGGAGCTAATTAGTCAACTCTGCAGTAAGTGTCTCATGTAGCTGCACCCACAGGGCACAGCTACATGTCCATATTAATGTAATGCAGTTAACTTCGGCGCTTATCGCATTGGATCTTACTGCTCCTGGGCACTGTGTTTACATGTGCGCCTGGGACCACAGCACATTGAGCTGGTTCAGAGCAGCTCCAGGTCTCAGGGCACCTGTGGCGGGAAAGGGAGAGGGGCATCTCAGAAGCCTGCAAGCCCGAGGCAGTTCCTCCCATCTCAGTGTGCTTTGGAGGAGCTGGCTGGGTCACAAGGGTGCTTCAGTGTGGAGCTAGCTGAAGCAATGTTGTGCCGCGGCCAACCGAGGTAGCATTTACATGCATGCAGCTGTGGGGTAAAAAGTACCATCCTGCTGCAGAGTAAATTAGTTTACTCCAGCATAATGGGGCACATGTGTAGATGTGTGACACTTACTCTGGAGCTAATTAGTCTACTCCACAGTAAATGCCTTGTGTAGATGCGTCCACTGACTGGCAGATTGCACTACAAATAAGCCTAATGAAAACCCTATTCATAGAAGATCCATAGAAACATCATACTCTCCTTATTTTTCCTTACCCTGAAATCAGCTTTCCTTTGATATATTTTGCCCTTCCTTTTTGGGTTAAGAACATAACACAAATTAGTAAGAGGGAACCAAACTATTAAGAAATATTTGGCAGTTAGTAGCTGAAACGAGGCAGGTGAACACAATGTTTGGTGATGCCATACCAGGATATGGACCAAGACAAGTTCTCTAGGGTTTCTACATTTGTCATGGAACATTTCCTCCACACAAGACTCAGAAGGGTCTGGTTGGAATCCACAGCAGTAACGATCCAGGCGGTCATGAACCTGTGGGAGACACGAGTCTTTAGAAGTCTCAGGTCAGTGATGTCAAGTTGTATTTGAACAGGGAACATTTTTTGCTTGGAAGAAAAGGAAGGACTGGCTAATATTCAGAGAGAAAGCAAGATACTTCTTTAATGGGAAAACTTTATATAAAGGAATTAAAGACGTTTCGAGAAGCATACAGAAGTTCAACAGCTTTTCTGAGCCCCCACTTCAACCACATTGGCCTGGAAAGTGAACTAGCAAACACATAACAATAGGCTTTCCTGCAAGATTTTAGACACTTTCTCCCTCCAGGGCTTAATGTTTGCATTGGTTGAATAGACTGTGCTGAACTCAATAGGAGATGCATATGAAAATGAATGCAAAACAAGATAAGTTAATCTAATTTTTTTAACCTCATAAAGAGAGTTTGCTCAGGGCAATGTTCAGTTCAAATGCCAGATGAAGGTTTAGATTGGTTCCTGCTTGATATAAACCATTTCATCTATCCCCAGTACAATACAAACAACTCGTGACAGAAATGAGTTGAGCAAGGAGGGTAGGGGGATGCTTTGGTGTATTCTTTATTGCATAGCAGGGCATTTGTACTGCAGTTTGCTGAGCAAGGTCAACACATCAGGGAGGGCATCATAACTCCCTCTACTTGTACTTGGGCTTAGTAATTCATGGGCACTTTTAAACCTGTCCCTCCTCATTTCCACGGCTGTCAGCCTACTCAGTGAATTGTTGATGCCTTCCCGCTGTCCTAGTGCTCCTTCAGAGCCCCCTGCTGTAAATGTATGTTGCAAGGTCTGAAGCACTGCCCCTGAAAGAGCTGCACTTCACAGATTCTTCCCAAGGATGAACTGTTCCTGTTAATTTTATGCTGAGGTACTAATTTAGCATAATTGAAATCAGCTTGACACAGGAATGAAGTGATCTGAACTTATTCCTTTGTTTTCGATAGGGCCATGCCACAGTGCTAGAACCACAAGCACTCCACATGTTCTGTGTCAGAATGAATATCAAATGAGTCACATTCAGCAGCAACTGTTATGTCATCCAAACCCAGAGAGTCAAACTGTCCCATGACTAGACAGTCATATCCTTGGAAGAATGAACAGGATTTGACTCTACCTGAATGTTAATAATTTCTATCTTGCTTTAAGTAAAACCTGGAATCCGTAATCCCTGTTTAATTTGTGCCTTCTTTCTTAGCTTTGTTGCAAGAAGCCATTAGATTTTTCCACGAGGCAACTGCAGGTTCTGCCAGTAATATGATAACTAGCATGTTTGGATACAGAAGGCCTGTAGTTGCATATAGGAAGCTGACTTGCTGCCTTGGCCTCTTCAAAGTATCACAGCATAAATTAACTTCTGCAAACATATCATGCTTTCCTGAAACAGGACCTGTACTGCTGAGGAAAGCAGAATTCCTGATGGGGCTGAGAAACAGAGAGATTTCACATGGGGCTGCCAAATGGTCTGGTTTGGACCAGAGATGTGTGACCCTATTGCCTGGTTTGAGGCTATGAACTTAAGAGTTGGGACAGGCTCAAGAGGAAGATGTATTATTTTTGGGTCGACACCATGCTGTTGCTGGTAATATCCCATGGTTTCAAACCTGACAGTTTACAGAACTCCACAATTTTAACCAAGTTCTTATTAGAGATTTGAGTTTTCTTTGAACCTCTCATTCAAAGCACAAGGAAAGATATTGTTATGAAACATACAGTTTGAGTCTTGTGACTGTTATAGGGTGCTTATTCCAAAACAGGAATTAGAATGGAATTACTTATTTCAAACACAGGTTAGCGTTTCTTAACAAGACCCCATGATTGCTAATGTTTAATGAGGCACTCAAGTCAATATTTCTCCTTCAGGAAACCAAACACAGAAAGTGTTTCATGTCAGCTTCCCTGACATGAAATACATTTGAACAAAAGAAAATGCTGCATTTATTCCATGTACTTTCTATGCATCGGTCTTGCAAAGTGCAGCACATTGGTTTCTCTCACTTGCTATGTTGTTTTTTCATCATAGTAGAATTAATAGCTTGTGCAGAATATACAGAATATATTAGATGATTTACAGAGACATTAAATGTACTTGTGCAGTAGAGAGACAGACTGCATACATATTGGGAGATTATGAAGAAAACATAACTTGCCAATGCCACACACAGAAGGAGACATTGGCCAAATTTTTGAATGCTATAACCTACCTTGGGTCTGAAAAATGTGAACACCTACTTATATTTCATGTTCTGCATTGCAAACTGAAAAATGTACATGAGAATGGGTAGTAATAACATATTGTGATGTCCACCCCCCCCAACCACCCTGGGCAGGGAACAGCAACCTACAGCATGCACAGCAGATGGGGAGAAGATGCATTTTAATGAAGAGCCACATGAAAATCCTCTGATAAAAAGTGTCACAGGATACTTAATAGAGAAGACCTATGTGTTTAGGTGTCATGTACTCCTATGCCACATGAGATACCAAGGTCCTGCCTCAGAAGGATGAAAGGAACAATACTTCTGTTATCTCCATCAGTGCTCAGCTCAGGCTGAGCCTGCTCAGGCCTTTGGAAATGGATGTATCACTTTGGTTTTGCTTAGAGTATGTATTAGCATAATCAATTGCATTACATCCTGGTTAAATAGTCACATTTTGTATTGCCAAAATATTATGTCTTCTTCCCTCCTTTTCTCATAGAATCATAGAATCATAGAAGTAGGGTCGGAAGGG